TACACACACACACACACACACACACACACACACACACACACACACACACAAATCACATTGTAAAATCCTTTTTTGTCTGGGCAATGTTTTTGTACGTTGTCACATATAAAAGAGAAGTTTCTCACTCCCAAAGCAATATAAATACAACTACAATAAAGTAAAACTGCTCAGGACGCTCAATGGAGAAGGGACGATAAGGTGTTTGCCTCGTGGCACTGTCACCCAGTGGCATTTTAGAGGTACTGCATTGCCTGAGCAGCCAAATTGTTTTCTTGCGTCGCAATTAGTTGTTTGCTGTCTGATGGTCATCATTACACATTCGCTTGCTGCCATCACTGATGAAAAACACACTTGCAGACTTTTCACGCTCACTGTTGTTAGTAAGCAAAACTAGCACTGAGTTGTATCAACACAATCAAAGAGAATGCTAAGAAATAAAACATACTCACTGTGCAGACTGTAGCATTTGTGCGAGTGGATGCGTGCATCAAACGGGTGGGGCTTAGTGAGAATGACCAGGACCTGATCGGCCGGTTTGTCAGCGTGTGAGAATCTGGATGTGAGTTGTGGCCAACAGCAGCTCCACGCAGGTGTTTTGATTTTAAATGTGTGTATTTGACTGTTTGTCCTGTTCAATCGATGGATGAAAGTGACTGCGGCTCCCCTTGCCCACGTGTCAGGGCATTACAGTACCTCAGCTGCTACATTTTTATCACACTTCTCTCAAATCATAATCTCCCTCAAATTTTGCTCGCAATACGATGCGCAAAAAGTAAAAAAACATATTTTTGCTGTTTAAAAATCAACAAAAATTGGCAGAATTTTGGGGTGCAAGGGGTAGATGAAAACTTAAGACGAAGATAGACGTTCAAACATTCCCCCCAAATTTGTTAAATACTCAAGGGAAAAAAAACGCTCATATTTTGCCTGTAATTCATGATTGTAAGCGTTAACAGACCAAATAAGATATTTTATTGATGATATATCTTTTGATAAATCAGCCGATTAATCGGTGATGGGAATTTTCTCCTGCCAAACCTCGGCATCTGCTTAAAAAAAATCCTTGTCAGTCTGACCCTATGAAAAAAAAAATTGCATGCATGGGGTTCTTCCTTGATGGAGGTCACCACCCGAAACATCTTCCCTTGCATCAGCAGCCTCCTCGTTCCCTCGCCTGCCACCTTACACGCCGTCAATTACCGGCCGGCATCAGTCAACGCCGGGCGCTTACACGCCAGATTATTGTCCATATAGATTTTTAAATAGAAAAATCTATACTTTAAACATGGCAGTCAATACAGGGGGGGAATCGATAGGAATGAGCCAGCGTGTGCTGCCTGCCTGCCTGACTGCCTGCCTGCCCGTCCACTCCGATCCTGTCCTTCCTGCAGGCCTCCGGTTTCGACTTTAAACGCCGCGGGGCGATTATCGGACGCTTTTCATGGAATTATCGCTGAGCAGGACGGTATAAAAAGGAGAGCGAGGGCTCTCCGGATTTGCTCATCGGGGCTGCTGCGGATGTGCTGCGAGCTAAAGCGGCCTTAATGAAGAAAAATGTCCCGCAGTGGACAAGCGGGCTCGATGGCAGCTCTCCCCGAGCGTCATGTATGA